ACACACATATTGTAATCCCAAAGCTGGGGAGGCTGAAGCAGGAGGACTGCAAGTTCAAGCCCAGGCTAGGCAACTTACTGAGACTTGATCTCAAAAGGAAAATGAAAAAGTAAAGGCTGGGATGTAGTTAAATGGGAAAGCCCTGGGTTTGATCCCAGTATTACCAAAAAAAAGATTTTTTAAAAATGTCAAAACACCCAGAAAAATAACAAAGCGGAAACGGGTTACACAAAGGAGCCACATACCCACTTGGAAGTTGGCATATAATGAACTGTCTCATACCCAAACTATAGAGTGTAAAGGTAAACTGAAGTCTATGAAAATTCACTTCTCATGCAGTCTTTCTCAGGAAGCTAATTAAGAACATATTTCATCAAATCAAAGAAGGAGGATGTCAGGAGAGGCAAGAAACAGAGGAATCAAGATAGAAGAGAAAAAGAAAAAAATCACTAAGAAAATTTTAAAAGAAATCCCAGGGCCAGGCACACTGATACAGACTTGCAATCTCAGAACTTGGGAGGCTGAGGCAGGAGGATCCTGAGTTCAAGATGAGCCTGAACTACATAGAGGCCTTCTATCAAATAAATAGAAAACTTAATGAAATAAAAAAAGGAAAAAAGGGGAAAATTAAAGTGAGAAAAGAAGGAAAGAAGGGAAAAGTAAAAGAAAAGTGAGAAAAGAAGGAAAAAGTGGAAACAGAGTTTTAGTAAATGAGGGAGGAGAGGGATTGAGGGGAGGGGAGGGGATGAAAACAAATCCAAGTTATATATTGAAAAAAAGATAAATTAAAAAAAAATTCAAGATGACAGGTCTTGGGCGAGGGATTTAGCTCAGCAGCATAAGCACCTGCCTGACAAGTACGAGGTCGTGCGTTTGATCCCAGTACCCCCCCAAAAAGGCAAGGTTGATATAAGCCCGCAAAAAGTAATAAGCCCCAATCAAAGAAAGATGAAGGTGCCACAGGAAGGAAGTCCCCAAGAGTAAAGTGTATTAAAATAGTTTGTTGTCTGTGACTCTTAATGGTAGATTGAAAATTACACAAATAAAAAGCAAAACGATGATATAATTATTTATTTCAGAAAAAGTATGTTCAACGAGAAAAGCACATTTGACTTAGTAGTAGAGATTTACACAACTCTAATGCTTTTAAATTAGTAAAAAATTGTGAAACAGCTGGGTATGGTGGCACATGCCTGTGATCCCAGCACTCAGGAAGCTGAGGCAGGAAGATTGCTGCAAGTTCAAAGACAGCCTGGGCGACATAGTGAGTTCAAGACCAGTCTGAACCACATATAGAGACCCTGTCTTTAAAAAAAAATGCGAAATAGCTGGGAAGTTGGATAAAGTGGAGGGGAAAATGATGTGAGATAACCCATTTTCCTTGAGAATAAATAAGAAAGATCTACAATTTTTTTGTTGTTGTTTTGTTTTCTCTATTCCTTTTTAGGGAGTGGTGGTTTTGGGGAAGGCCTTGCTCACCTGCCTGCACTGGCCTGGAACTCAAGATCCTCCTGCCTCAGCCTCCTGAGGCACTGGTTTAAATATCTATAATCTTTAAATGGAGAAATCAGAGTGTAATTGTGCTCCTCAGACGTGGGGAGAAAGAGCTAAGGAACAGCCATGAACTGAAGGGGACTGCTTCCAAAGGACAGAATGCAGAGTGTGGAGGGACAGAGCAGATAACTGCTTTGTCTCTGTATAAACTATCCAATTTCTAATACCATTACATCTTTAACTTTGAAAAATAATTTTTAAAATTTGGGTAGCCTGGAGAGCAGGCCAGGCAGGAATGATGTATGTGCTGGTAATCCCAGCACTCTGGAGGCTGAGGCAGGAGGATCACTGTGAGCTCAAGGCCAATCTGAGTTAGATAGCAAGATCCTGCCTCAAAAAAGGACCAGCCTGTGTGCTGCTCTGAATTTTTCTACATTGTATAGAGATGCAGCTTTCAGACTGTGCCACTTCATAAAGCAATAGTTTGAGCTGAATTAGTCCATTTGAATACAAGTGCCAAGAGAGAATGCCTCCTGCCTTATTTGTTCAACTAAACAATCTTCCCAGTAAAACTAAGAAATACAAACTAACCTATTCATGGCAATATTGTTATCACAGTAAATCCTGACTGTAAGGACATGAGCATATCAGAAAACCACACAGGAACCTGCTATAATGGCACACACCTGTAATCTCAGGATTCTGGGAGGCTGAAGCAGGAACATGCAAAGTCTAAGCTCAGCATGGACAATTTAGCAACTTAGCAAAACTCTTGTCTCAAAATGAGAAATTTTAAAAAGGGGTGGGTGCCAAGGACCTAGGGTTTAAATCCCAGTACCAAAACAAAAACCAAAAAACTAAACACAGGCATTTATCAAACACACCAGATGCAACTCTAATACCAGCAGTCTGGGAGGCTGAGGCAGGTGCATCGCATGTTCAAGCCCAGTTGGGCCCCTTAGTGTGAAACTTAGTCTCCAAATCAAAAATCAAACAGGCCTGGCAATGAAGCTCAGTGTGAAAGCCCTAGGTTCAATCCCCAGTACCAGGGGATGGGGAGGGGGGCACCCAATGCCACCCCCTCCTCTGGCCTATATAAAAGGAGAACCACACATGGGCATCACTGACTCCACCCTCTGGTCATCATGGTACCATGACCTTACCCAGGAGAGCTCGCAGGCGAAGAGCTAGCAGGCAAAGAACTCCTGAGGTGTTGGCTCAGCAGTGCTTGGGACTCAGACTCACCCTTTTCCTCACAGCTTCGTATCTCTGCCACTGGGCTTTGTCTGTTAGTTCTTTTTTTTTTTTTTTATCGGTACCAGGGATCGAACTCACGACCGCCTGCTTACAAGGCAGGCGCTTATGCCGCTGAGCTAAATCCCCAGCCCCCTGTCTGTTAGTTCTTTATCCATCCTCTGGCAGAGCCTTCTGCGGGTTTATCAGCCCTGTGCCTTTACTCACTCTGCAGCTGTTTTTATTTATTTTGATTGATTGATTGGCCGATTGTCTTCTTGAGACAGGGTCTCACTATGCAGTTCAAGCTGGCCTTGAGCTCACTTTGTAGCCCAGGTTGGTCTCAAACTCACAATGATCCTCCTGCCTCAGCCTCCTGAGTGCTGAATACAGGCTTGAGCCACCACGCCCAGCTTGCAGCCTCTTTTAAACAGTGTGGCCACTTCCATAGCCTGCTGTGCCTTCAATATTACCAGGTGAAGTGGAATGTATAGATTTTACACTATAGATATTCATAATTAAGACTGCAATGGAATAAAACAACTATGATTGCCTTGGTCCCACAAGCAAGTGAAATCTAGAGCACTCAGTGAGTTAAAACTGATGGAATTGTGTAACTTTCAAATTTAGGTTATTCAGTGAACTCTAACATTACAGAAGGACACAAACGTGTCTATGTGTCTGTTCCAGGTTGATGACATAGCTTGCTCACAACAGATAGTAACATTTTAAATTGAACATCCTTTATTTCACCTCATTGTTTTGCTAAAGATACAGAGAAGTAAAATAAGACATCTGTCAGCTTATTGTCCTCTGATCTCTCTAAAGGTAACCCTACCACCCTTAAAAACTAGGTATCTTTGAAAAATTCTTTGGTGCTAGGAATTTGATCCAGGCCCTGGTATAACTGAGTCACACATACATCCAGTCCAATTACAGTATATACATTTTCATGAACTCAAATAACTACATACATTCTCATCACTCTTCATCTTGGCTTATGTAATGACCAACCACTACATTCTTTTAAAAGAAAATTTGGTTTTGCTTCTACTATGAACTGTTAAATTATGAATGTGAACTGGACATGGTGGCACAGGCCTATAATCCCAGTATTAAGGAGGCTGAGGCGGAAAGATCACCGCCAGTTTGCGGCCAGTGTGTGCTACTTAGTGAGTTCAGGGTCAGCCTGGACTGCACAGTGAGACCCTGTCTCTAAATAAATAAATAAATAAACAAACAAACAAACCATTATTTGAGAACGTGTTTCATGATTTTTGCTTCTACAGACAGGATCTCGCTGTGCAGCTCGCGGTGACCTTGAACTCACTGTATAGTCGAAGCTGGGCAAGAATGCCTGAGTATCTTTCTGACTCGTTGTTGGGATTACAAACTTGCACCACTGCACCCCCCCCCGCAATAGCCCATAAACGCTTCACAAATTCAGTTTACTCAAGTAACACACCTTTACAGAACTACGAATCATTTGAGGCAACATACTAAATCCTGAATTTCTCGGCATCTGTAATATTCTCAGTATATTTCATATATTTCAATACTCTTTAAAGTGCTTAATTCAGCTGCATTTTTACCGATTTAGCTGTAGTAGGGATTGAATCCTAGGCACACTGTACACCCTCATGCCTTTTTTAAATTTTGAGACAGTCTCAGTTAGCTGTCCAGCGTGGTCTCGAACTTGTCATCTCCCCGCCTCTTCGTCCCCAAAGCTGGTATTACAGACGGCTCCACCACGCCCGGCAGGCGTGGCCTTAAAGACGTGAATGTCAAGTAGAAAAAGTCGCATTTCCAGGAGCAGGCTCTTCTCACTCCATCTCCACGCGAAGTCAAGCCAAGTGAACCCGCCCGAGCTGCTGAGCTCACTCAAGCCGAGCAGATTTATTATTACTGGCCGCGCCACCGACTCCCATTCCCGGGCGACGCTTGCATCCAGGGCGGGCCGGGGCACCACGGCGCCGGCGCAGTGCAGTCCCCGGGCAGCGCGCGAATCCCGCCTCGCACGCCGGGAGGACCGGTCCCAGCGCCCTCCAGGGACCAGCGCAGCCACCTTCAGCCCCCGGGCCACCCGCGAGCCACCCGGCATCCCCGGCATGCTGGAGCAAGATCGCGGTGCACTTCCAGCCTCCAGGAGAGTGGAGATGTCCCTCCCGGCCACGCCCCCAAGGCCCTCCCAGGTCCCACCCCGTAAGGCCGGCGCGGGCGGGAGCTGCGTGCTCGCTCCCGCCCGGACGCGCAGCCACGCCCCGAGCGGGCGATGGACGCGCGATCCCGGCGCCCTCCGCGGTGACGTACGGTGCCGGGGCCGCGCTCGGGCGCCGTAGCCGCTATTATGGCGTCTGGGGCGCGGGCTGAGGAGAGGCGGCCGTAGTCTCCGTAGGGCGAGGCGCTGGCGGCCGGGCATGGAGCGCGGCCCCACGAGCCCGCAGCCGCTGGGACACGGGGTGGCGACCACACCAGCGCCGGAGGACCGACAAGAGAACCGGCTTGCAGCGGCAGACGGTCCCGGGGCGCGGGCGACGGAGAGCGGCGGCGCGGGCGGGCAGGGGGCGGCGGCCGGCACGGGGAGCTTCTTCGACCCCGCGTCTCCCGCGGGCTCCTCCTCCTCCACCTCCTCCTCCTCGGCCGTCCCGGGCGCCGACTCGAGGGAGCCCGCAGAGGAGAGCGCGGCGGCGCCGGCGGGAGGGCGGCGGGAGGTGACCGCCCGGCCAGAGCCAGCTGCGGCCGGGGACGCGCGCACCTGCCCCGAGGAGCCCCGCCGTGCCCGCGGCGCCTGCAGCAGCGCCAGCGACCCGAGCCCGCCCGAGGACTCGCCGAGCCTAGATTCCCTGGAGTCCTTCTCCAACCTGCACTCTTTCCCCAGCAGCTCCGAGTTCAACAGTGAGGAGGGCGCGGAGAGCCGGATCCCCGAGGAGGGGCAGGAGGGCGCGGCGGGGGCGCCCGGGGCTGCGCCTCTGTGCCGGGGGGGGAGGACGAAGACGACGCCGCACTGGGGCCAGCGGCCACCAAGGAGCGCTTCCCCGGGCAGTCGTGTGTATCACATCAAGTGGATCCAGTGGAAGGAAGAGAACACACCCATCATCACCCAGAATGAGAACGGGCCCTGCCCTTTGCTGGCCATCCTCAATGTTTTGCTTCTGGCCTGGAAGGTACATTCTGCAGTTTTCCACTTCCTACAGTTTTTGGGGAGGGGCACCACGGGGTGAGGAAGCTGCAGCTTGTCATTTACTGGCTTCCTTTCTTCTTGCATGTCCCCTTTGCTTCCCGTATGAAAATTGTTCTAGATTCCCCACGTTAAAAGGATATCCGTGTACATAAACATGTGTACATACTTAATATATATGTTGATGTGCAGTGTTTACAGGCTAGTGGAACTTACAACCTAATTATTTTAAGCTGTATTTTCTGTATTAGTATCACATGTGCAAAAAACTGACGAATGGGAGAAAGTAGTCTTTGCATGACATGGAATAAGTTTTGATGTTTGTGTTCAGTCTATTTTCCACCTAATGCTTCTGTAGTTTGGTGAAGATATTTAACAGAATGGTGACAAGGAAGTTGTGGCCCTTAGACGGATTCCATTTAAGGAAAAGGACTGGTCTGAGGCCCAATAATCGTAACTTGTAGTTTTTATTCTTTTGGGGGTAAGGGGGCAAATCTCAAACAGCCCAGGCTGGCCTAGATCCTCCCCCCTCAGCCTCTCCAGTGCTGGGATGACAGGTATATGTCATCATGCCCAGTAATTTCTACATTTTCAAAGATTCTGCTTTCATTTTATGCATGATTTTTATTTTTTCCTATCTCTGACGCTACATGAAAGGGTTGATATTATTACCAGTAACTATGCATCAGAATGTGATGAGGGAGCTAAAATTATTAACAGCAACAATAAGATAGGTAGTGGGAAAAAAAAAAAAAAAGAAAAAGAAAAAAGAATGGATAAATGTGTTGAGAACTCAGTCTCTCTGAGTTACCTGCGAGTGAAACTTCTCATTTAAGCGTTCAGTTTTAGGGTGCCAAGAAGATTATCCCAAGGCACCTGTTTTATTTTCAAATTTATAACTGTACTATAGAAAAAATGTCTGTGGGAGGAAAATAGGTTGGGTTATTCTGACCAGTTAGGAACAAAAGCAAGTAAAGCAAATGCTATTTATTAAATGTCTTGACTTCCTGTTGTTAGCAAGGGCCAATCCAGAAAAACAAAAGATGAACTGAGGATGAAGCTCATGGTAGAGCACCTGCCTAGAGTGCACTGTACTCTGGGTTTGGTCCCCAGCACCCTGCCCCCCACCACAATCTTTAAAAGTAAGATTAGAAACATTGCTATCACCTGTGTAAGATAGCGCCAGTCTTTTGGAGCGGGGGCAGTGCCTGCTCTGGAGTTGTCAAAATGTTTGGGATTGCTGCACTGAGTTAGTTGACGTTAGAGAGTAGTAAATACTACTAGGTTACACAGAGCAAATAGAAATGCGTTAGATACCCAAAGGGGGAAATTTTTCTTTGGTCTAGCATAGCCCCAGAAAGCTTTATGGAATTGTGAGTCTTAAACCAAGCTTTTAAGGGAAAGAAGAATAAAAAAAATTTAATTCTTGAGGGAGAAGAGTGTAAACAAAAGTAATGAAAACAGAGTGGATATTTTGTGTACTTTTGTGTGTGTTTATTAGATGACAAGCAGTAAGTTCATATTGGAGAATGATAAAATATTGAAAAGGCAAAGAAGACACACTAGATGGAAGCACTTGAACGGCGAATTGTATTTGGTTCTATGGGCCAGAGTCCCCACTTGCTTCTGCAGGAAGGAATGCCTTAGTTTCCTTTAGGCTTTTGTCTTCTTCGTATCCATACTGCAGAACTTCAGAGGAAGGAGGGAAGTACCCAGTGCCTGGCGTGCTCGGGAGTAGATGAGCATTGCACTGGCTCTGAGGGATTGGAGAGCGTGATCACAGTCGGGGTTGCCAGTCTGTGTGGAATGCACAGGTGAGTGCAGTGCGAATCTGCCCACAGGTAGCTCACGATATAGCATGGAGGCAGACAGATAAACTAATTGTAGAGCAGTGTGCAACAGAAGTGCACAGGTCAGGGTAATTTGGGGATGAAACTGCCATCCGAAGTTTTCATAGCAGAGAGAACCTGAGAACCAGGTCTGCGGCTGAATGAGAAAAGGCCTTTGGCCAAGGGATGCTGAAGGAGAAAAGGGTGTATTGTTTGGGACCTCCAGCCTTGGCTGAAATGCATTGGAAGAAGGAAAAGAAATAGGTAGTTTTGGTTAGACTGTGAATGAGCAGACATCCTAATGAATTTTGAAGTTTCTCTTATGAGTTGTGGTTTTCAGCCTCCCTTTTTTTTTTTTTTTGCTTCTAGGTTAGTTTTGTTTTATAGTACTGGGGATTGAACCAGGAACTTTTGCCCTGAGCTATACTACATCTCCAGTACTTTTTAAATTTTTCTGAGACAGGGTCTCAAATTGCTGAGGCTTGGCTCAGTCTTGCAGTCCTGCATCTTCCTCTCAGAGTGCCAAGATTTCAGATGGGCACTTATGGCTTTCTATAGCTTTAATGCCCACAGAAATCAGTTATTACTAATCATTACTGATTGATAGGAAGATTGGTGTAAATGGAATCATTTTAGATAGGAAAGTTAATGCCAAAGTTTGGTTGTGTCCAGTTGGGAAGAAACATGTTAGGTCTCGGGAAAGAGATCAAAATGCTGAGAAAAGTTAAGTGGAAGAATTAGTGTATAGATGAAAGAACAATAATGAGAATAAATGAATTCTCCATAGGGAGTGGTCAGCTGTAGTTCTCAACCTTTTTCTATCCCAGCATACAGGAAGACTTACAAATTGCTGACAGAAACATGTTGGCTGTCTTATTACCTCTGTTTCTCCACTTAGTCCTTCGCTCCATTCGCCACAAGAGAAAGAGAGGAAGAGAGTAGTAAAAGTGGAAGAATATTTCCAGCAAAGAGCGTAAGAGTGAAACCAGCATATGCACCATTTGACATGTACAGTGGGATAAAAAGTAGAACAGTGTCATCCTAGTCAGGACGTGTCGATGTCCGCTCCCGGCCGGCAGGAAGGACACACGACAAAGTCTGGTAGTGGACAACCTTTTTTTTTTATTTTTCTTTTCTGTACAGCCTGCCCTGGGTTCTCCCAGCTGAAGCCTCCTCTGGTCCGCTCCCCGCGGCTCCTTCTGGGCTTCTACTTCCGGGCTTCTTCTTCCCCCCCAGGGGTGGCACCAGTATATATACGGATACAGTGTCCAATCATGTTAAAGTGAGCAAGGCAAGCTGATTGGCTAACATCATCAGTTGCCAGGCAGACTATATTGTTGAGCGGGTTGCTTACGCGGTAAGCAGGAAACTAACGTGCTCGATGGGAGGGGTAATCTACCTCAGGCTTTGCTCTTTACCACAGGCCGCACGTCCGCCGCGCAAGGCGAGCTATCACAGACGCGGCTCCCAACAAGGACGAGAGTCTAGAATTTTAGAAATTGGTCAGTTACCTTGGGTAATACAGTAGCATCAAGGAGCATATTGAATAGGAAAGATTTTGCCAAGAAGAACAAATATGGCTACAACATTGCCAAAAAATCAGAGTAATACAGAATCCTAAGACTTAGGTGGTTCTCTTCACAAGAAATGAACAATCTGGGTTTCTGGAGGAACAGAACAAGGAAATTTCAGAGACAACGCAGTGAGGTAGGTGAAAATTGAACCTTCATTATTTTCCATTTTTGCAAAATAATTACCAAAATCAGTAATTAAAGAGGCGAGAGATAAAAGTATTGAGAAGTTTAGGGTTTAAAAAAAAAAAATATATATATATATATATATTTATTTATTTATTTAAGACAGGGTCTCTCTCCCATGTTCTTCAGGCTGGCTTTAAATTCACTAGCCTAGGCTGGCCTCAAACTCGGCAGCTCTCTGCAGCAGCCTCTTGAGTGCTGAGGTTTCAGGTGTGCGCCACCATACCTAGCCTGCCTTAATATTTTTATATATGTAAGAGTATTAATGTAAAAACAGGGCTGGGGATTTAGCTCAGCAGCATAAGTGCTTGCGTGGCAAGTGCAAGATCGTGAGTTCAATCCCCGGTACCAAAAAAAAAAAGTATTAATGTAAAAATGGTCACTACTTTCTTATACTTTTCTTTTTGGTGGGGGGGAAAGAATGTTACAGATTTGAGGCCAATGTACTGTACACACAAAAAAACTTATGTGGAACCTATAGTGTACATTTTGATAGAGGACATAAAGTATTATAAGACCTAACCGTCGTGTTAGCATTAGCATTTTTGTAGAACGAATGCAGTGTTTTAACTGAAGATGCTGGAGATACGTAGCCTATCCTCCTTTTCGGTAGGGAGTTCTTTTCCCCATTTTCTTTTTGTAGTACTAAGGATTGGACCTAGGGCTTCTGGTCTTAGCTATAGCCCCAGCAAACACCTGCATTCCCGGCTACTCAGGGGACAGAGGGATAGAAAAGGTTGAGAACTACAGCTGACCACTCCCTATGGAAAATTCATTTATTCTCATTATTGTTCTTTCATCTATACACTAATTCTTCCATTTAACTTTTCATAAATTGTTGATGAGGTGCTGAATTGCCCAGGGTGGGCTGAAACTCACAGTCCTCATGCTTCAGCCTTCCAGAATGCTGCGATTGCAGGCACGCACCAACACGCCCAGCTTGTTTTCTTTCTTTGCTTGTTAGGAGCTAAAGCTGTGTCTTGCTGTAGGTCAAGGGAAGAATGCCAAGATCCTGAAGCAAAATTGTTTTATGGTAGACTGGTGACTCCACACATCAATCTAGAAACTGTAAGATAAGAATTGATGCATTTGATTCTGTAAAATATTTAGAGTTTAAAATTAAAAATGAAACAAATACACCCCCATACACACACCAAAAACAAACCCAGCTAAACTAAATCAAAGCACACTATAGACTGAGAGGAATACTGCATTGCCCAAGTGACCTGTTAGAGAGCTAACATCCTTTTATTGTTTCTTGAGCTAGTCTCACCGTGTATCCAAGCTGGCCATGAACTCCAGAGTTTCTGGCTGGGCCTCCCCAAGTGCTGGGATGCAGGTGTGTGCCACAATGCCTGGCTTTCCCCTCTCTGCTTGATGACATTGCTTTGCTACATACTTCTTGCTTCTCGTTGGGATTTATTATTTTTTTCCTCTTTTCCTAAACAACCATTGGAAGTCTTTTGAACATCTATTACTTACACAAAAGAAGCACAAATGGTGAGCCAAAGGTTTCATCTCAGTCTCTGCCCTCTGGGCTTTAAATGTAGATATTATAAGATGAGATTAATAGTTTCACACAGTGGTTTTGTTTCTGGAGCAGATTGAAGGAGCACAAGTGGGCCTTTCGTCCCCACGCTGTGCCAAGCATTAGGACTGGTGGTGCGTCTTTGGTTGTTCCTGATCACGAGACAGTGACACTGCCCGAGTGTGCTTGCTGCCTGTCAGTGACAGCTGTGCTCGCTTGCTTCTCTGCCTTCCAGGCGGGTCAGCTATACTCTTCTCTGTCTTCCAACCTTGTGTATTGAGACCAGGTCAAGGCTGTTGGGTACAGGAGGTATGAACAGTCATAAGCTTTAAATAATAATAATAAAGTATTCGAATTTTTTCCTCAAAGTACTGGGGATTGAACCTAGGGTCTCTCAAGCTTGCCTCTGAGCCATATGTATCCCTGGCCCTGAGGCTCTTGTGTTGTCCAGGCTGGCCCTGAGCTTGCCTCTGTCCCCTGAGTGCTGGGATTACAGGTGTGTGCCTCTGCACCCAGCTGTACTTTAATGTTTTTAAGTACTGAGTTACTCTCAGTAATGAATAAAGATACAGAGAGAAAGTAAAATGTAAAGCATGATGCATAATGGTTTATATACATTTTATTGGGTGAATCCAAAATTGAAGGGGTATTGAGGATCCTCAAGTTTTTTGAGTTCTTTGAATAAATGCGAAAGGCTGCATTTCTTGAGTCTCATTAATACTTTTAATAGTCTCAAAATAATTTCTTTGCAATTTCAGCTAACAAAGCATGAATGATATGTATTCACCCTGAATATATTAGTGTACATATGTCTGTACTGCGTATTTGAAATTAGTGAAGTGTGAAGTATGGAGAAATCCTATGGTTCAGCTGGTCCATTACCGTAAGAACAGTTGTCCCGGCCCGGGGTTTAGCTCAGTGGTGTAAGCACCTGCCCTGGCAAGCACGAGGTCATGAGTTAGATCCCCAGTACCAAAAAAAAACAAAAAGAACAGTTGTCTCCCAGTGTCTGTGGGGATTGTTCCCAGGATCTCCGTGGGTGTTCCGGTCTCTTGTATGTAATGTGTAATGGCATTGTGTTTGCATATGACCTATGTACTTTCTCCTGTGTGTTTTAAATTATTTCAATTGCTTATAATACTTAATACAATGTAAGTGCTATGTAAATAGTTGTCACACCAAATTGATTTTGTTTCTTTGTTTTTTTGTCTTTTAACTTTTTTTTTTTTATCGGTACCAGGGGGATCGAACTCATGACTACCTGCTTGCAAGGCAGGTACTTATGCTGCTGAGCTAAATCCCCAGACCCATATTTTTTGTCTTTTCAAGTAAGGGTTTTTGCTCAGCAGTTGCCACTGGCCTTGAGCTCACTTTGTGACCCACGCTGGCCTCAGATTTAAAGCGATTCTTCTGCCTCAGCTTCTGAGTGCTGGGGTCATAGGCATGGGGCACCATGCCCATGTGATTATTTTTGTTGTTGTTTTGGGGGATTTTTATTTTTTTATTTATTTTTGGCTTTTTGAGATACGGTTTCACCCTGCAGTTCAGGCTTGCATTGCTTCTCCTACCTCAGCCTCAGGAGTGCTGGGATTATAGACATGTACCACCATGCCCAGCTAGATGGTTCGAAGAAACATGGCAACTAAAGAGTGTGCATGTTCAGTATAGGTGCCATTCTCCCCTGAGCATTTTCTTTTTTTTTTTTTTTTTTTTTTTTGTCTTTTCGGTACCAGGGATCGAACTCACCACTGCCTGCTTGCAAGGCAGGTGCTTATGCCACTGAGCTAAATCCCCAGCCCCCTCCCTGAGCATTTTCTGATCTGGTTGATTGAACCTACAGATGTGGAACCTGTGCATATGGAGGGCCAACAATAATGGAAAGAATACACTGGTATGAGTCAAATACTCTGAATTTAAAATGTTATCTCACACCAAGCTGTGGGGCCGCCACCTGTGATCTCAGGACACTGGGGGTCTGAGGCAGGAAGATTGAGAGTTCAGGTCCAGACGTTGACTCAACACAAAACGAAGCAGGTTATCTCCTGAGTTCTTAACTTGCTGTTCGAGTATCAAACAGATTAGCACAGTTCTAAAGTGGCACCATTTTTCCTATAAACTTACCTTCAGTTGCCAAATTCCATAATTTGGATATTCGAGCAATCCTAATTTTTAGAATAAAAGCCTTCATTCTTTTCCTGGCAGCCTCTACTATTTATTGGTCAAAAAGTTCAGACTTAGCTGGAAATATGTTCAGGCTTTTTGTTTTGTTTTGTGCCGCAAACCTTGGGCCTTGTATGTGCTGGACAAGCTCAGGATCAGCGAGCTGCACCCTGAGTATGTTGCTCAATATTTTACTGAATGGAAGTGTTCTGTTCATTGTTTTATGAATTTGTAAATAAGGGTTTTTGAAATTTATGAGTACATTTTACGTTCCTTATAGGGGGTTGGTGTGTGTACTTCGCATATCTTCCTCCCTTTCTCATTCCCCTTCCCTCTCACTCTCTGCTTTCATCTCTTGGTCTCTTTCTCTACTTCTAGTTACCTGTCTTTTTTTTTTTTGCTGTTTATATTTTGGGTTTCTCATATAAGATTAACCATGTGATACTTAAACTTGTGTGTCTGACACCTGTTAATACTGTATATTGGAAAAGATAATTGGCTTTGGTGTTAGATCCAATTCACATTACAACCCTGTTACTTACTTTGATCAGCTGTTTTAAAACCTAGCCAGGCCAGTAATCTTAGCACTCAGGCAGGCTGAGACAGGATGATTGGTACAAACCGAAGGGTAACCTAGCTCCGTAGCCAGTCCAGGGCCAGCCTACCTGCATAGCAAGACACTGTTTCCAAAAAACCTTCATGTGGTTTTGAATTAAGGTAATACTACCTGTTTCACAGGATTGCCATGGAATAAGGGAAGAATCGAATGGCAGTTAGTAGCTAATCCAGTAAAGACCAGAGACCTTCGAAGACTCAGTTTCAGCCAGGCATAGTGCCACTAGGAAGGCTGAGGCAGGAAGAAGGTCCAGAGTTAGAGGCCACTTGGGCTACACAGTGAATTCAAGGCCTGCCTGAACTGCGTGGTGAAACACTGTATCAAATAAATAAAACCTCAGTTTTGGATCTCAAGTATTTCCTCAACTTCCAAATTGTGTTGGAGCAGGGTGTGGTGGCACACAGGTGTAGTTCTAGCATTCTGGGAAGCTGAAACGGGAAGATCACAAGTTCAGGCCTGGCCTGGACAATTTAGTGAGACCCCATCTCAAAAAACAAAACACAAAACAAAACACAAAACATACAAAGGGCTGTGGATGTAGCTTGGTGGGAAGACCGTGGGTTCAGTCTCCAGTAGTGAAAGAGAAGAGAAAGAAACAGCATTGCCAGGGTCTAAGATTCATCTTGCGTGCCCTTTCGAAGATTAACGCCTCTCTTTCCCCTGTGGGTACTATATCCTAATTTTCACAGTATCTTTTTCCTTACTGTTGTTCTTGGTATTTTTACTGCCTAAATGTGTAGCTCTAAACAGCACGTAGTAGTTTACTTCTGTTATTTCTGTGCATGTGTCTTTGCACATGTGCGTCTGTTGTTGAAGACTGAACCCTGTCGTTCTCTCCCACTGAGCTGCATCCCAGCTAAGTTGCCCAGCATGGCCTCAGACTTGTGATTTTCTGCCTCTGTCTCCCAGGTATCCGGGATTACAGGTGTATGACAGTATGCCTGGCATCAGTTTTTAAACTTTACATTACAAGTAGAATCATACAGATGAATTCTTCATTGTTTAATAGTACTTTAATACTGTATTCATTAAATGGCCAGAGTGGACTTAATGGAATGTCTGCCATATTTGGTACCTGTTCCTGCTCTATAACCAAATGGTCTGTCATGCACTGTGGGAGGTGCAAAGACAGTTAGGAATGGGGTAACAGACAGAACTTGGCTTTGAACCCAGATTTCTCAGTGTCTCTTACAGCACCGTGATACTCTTATGGCAGTAGGAAATGTTAAGGTGTGAGTATGGTAGACAAGCATAGTAGAGCTATCCCAACATACGTAAATATTTAGGTTTCTGACCTCAAGAAGTACTTGAGTCATCTGAAGCACTGAATTTTATAGACTGTTCTTTCTTTTTCAGGTGAAACTCCCCCCAATGATGGAAATCATCACTGCTGAGCAGCTGATGGAATATTTAGGTTAGTATTGAAGAGCGGATGATTTTATATTTCTTTCAAAATTGGTATATTACACAGGCTCACCTTTCTGAAGTAATAATATAATTTGAATTTTTAATTAAAAAATGTTTACAAGGATGTTAGTGTTGTTGGGTATTATATAGCCTTCTCCTAAGCAACAGTGAAATTCTGTAACAGAAATAAGGAGAGTGAGTATATCCCGGAAACAAGATGCATATTAATTCCTGTAAACCGCAGAAAGGGAGAAGGCACAGAAACTGACACTACATATAGCTAGTATTTAAAAATATTAGATAGACATGAATTAGAGTGAAAGCAGTGGGCTGGAGCTGTAACCTGGTGGTTGAGTGCGTGCCTACCTGTGCAAGGGCCTGGTTTGGTCCTCAACACTATAAAATTTAAAAATGACAAAGGTGACTTATGGCATTGCTTTCAAAACTTTGATTTTTGGATTATGCCAGATTTTGAAATACTAATTATTGGCCTGCAGTGGAATAGGAACTTATTCCAGGCTGTAAAACATTTATAATTTCATTCATTAGTAAATATACTATTTAGTTCATCTGTAATTTTTTCATAGCAAAAAAAAATTTTTTTTTTCTATTCTGGGAATTGAACCCAGGGCCTTAGTATTAAACTATATCCCCCAGTCCTTTTTAAAATTATTTTTTAAATTTTGAGACGGGGGGGGGGGGGGGGGGGCTTAGCTCAGCGGCGTAAGCGCCTGTCTTGCAAGTGCGCAGTCGTGAGTTCGATCCCTGGTACCGATAAAAAAGAAAAAGACAAAAGACAAAAAAAAAGAAATTTTGAGACAGGGTCTTTGTAAATTGCCAGTGGGCTGGATAGGAATTTGGGATTCTTCTGCTTCAGACATGCTGGGATTATAGGCAAGCAGCACTATGCCTGAAAGAATTTTCTTGATGAGGGAAGCAATGTATTTTTGTTGCTGTTGTTCTGTTTTGTTTATTTTGTTTTGATTTTAATTAAGTTTCTTGGTACATTTCAAATATACATAATCATTTTCATCTTAGGGACTTTGTGCCTGTACATTACTTCCCTCAGTTCTCTCTCTTTTTTTTTTTCTTTGCATTCTCTTATCCTCCCTTCAGTCCTTCTTCCCCTCCTTATTTACCAAAGCTTTGTTCTGTTTCTGGGGTTTTTTGCTTTTTTGGGGGGAAACAATGTGTTAAACGAAGAATTTATGTACTCATTCTGTTATCAGATAGGTAATCTTTTTTGTCAGCTGATAGTTTGTTTCCATCATTCCAAACAACCCACTGATTTGATTTTATGTTTTAATTTTTTGTAAGATAGAGGCTTAGTGGAGTAAGCCTCTTGGGATTGTAGCTTTGGAAGGCCCTTTTCTTGTGTAATTATATCATTTAATCCTTACTCCCTGGCCACGGGCCTGGGCCTTGTACTTACAGACAGATGACTGAGCACTGTACCTAGAAACCGCCGAGCAGACTTCCTTTTTATCCCTCTTAATTAGCTAATGATTTTTACACTTCAGGATTTCCAAAATCTGTGTCATGAAGAAGGCTGATTGTGCTTGCTCCTTTTGAGGAGCAGTCAGTGTGACTCCAGGGAGTCGCAGAGGGCGGGAAGGGGAGCTCAGAGGGTTAATGGCACCTGATCCCATGGGCCCAGTGGGCTGTTATGATGGAGACTTGGACAACTACTGAGTGAGCTGGGAGGCTGAGGCAAGAGGATCACACTTTTGAGCATAGCTTAGACAATTTAGCAGCGTAGATATTGCTTCAAAAAAAAAAAATTTTTTTTTTAAGAAGTTGCTCAGTGTGAGGGCCCTGTGTTCAATTCCCAGTACTGCCAAAAGAAAAAAAAGTTAGGAAAGAAAGAACAGGTATGGAGAAGAAAACAGGTAGCTGTGATTTTCTAGATTCCAGGTGAAGAAGTTTTCAAATACAGTGAGGATAGCCAGATCTCAATCAGCAGGGTGAAGACTGAAGTTGCCCATGGCTGTTGCCATCACTGGCAGAGCTTGACAGCCTGAGTGAGTGTGCTGCCTGGAGATAAGTGAGGACTGGAGGCCTCACACAGACGGCACCAGTGTAAGATGAAGCGGGCACCTCGGGAACGGGGCTGTAGTGGTCCTCAGTGATCCTTGCTCTTCAGGAGGATGAGGCAGGAAAATCCAGAGTTCAAAGCCTGTCTGGGCAGTTGAGTGAGACTTAGCTCAAAATAAAAAACCTGGCGTAGTGGCTCACACCTGTAATTCTAGCATTGTGGGAAACCCAGGAAGGATTAGCAAATTAGTGACTTCTCAAGACACCTTGATTTATGTTTTTTTGGTGTTGTTTTCTTTTTTTTTAGAGACAGGGTGTGCTTTGTAGTGCAGCTGACTTTAAACTCACTATGTAGCCCAGCATGGCCTTGAACTCACAGCTGTCGTGCCTCAGCCTTCCTGTGGTGCAGTTATAGGCTGGCTCCACCCACTGGCCTACAAACTTACTTAAAAGGGCTGGTGGCCAGGCATGGTGGTACATGCCTGTGATCCCAGCACTCAGAGACTGAAGCAGGAGGATCACTGTGAGTTCGAGGCCAGCCTGAATTGCATATAGTGAAACTCTGACCCAAAAAAAAGTGGGGCAGTGGGGGGAGTTGGGAATGTAATGCTCCCTCCCTAGTTTTAGTACCCAGTACAGCATAAATAAATGAGCTAAGCTAGGAGTATAGCTTAGTGGTAGAGTGGTTCTGTATTCCATTCCCAGTGCCTCAAAAACCAACTAATCAACAAACAAAAACAGGACTAGGGATATGGCTCAGTGGTAGAACACTTGCCGAGCACACTCCTGTCCCTGGATTGGGGGATGTTACATACAAAGCTAAGTGTGGCGAGGCAGGCCTGCAGTCCTGGCCACTAAGGTAGATGACTCAAGAGGATAACTGATCCCGAGAGTTAAAAAGTTTAAATGTGGAATGCCATATAATTCTGAAGTTTGACATCTAGTATTTGCTTAAAAGAGCTAAAAAAGTAGATGTCTAAACAAAAACTTGCACAGGAATATTTATAAAATTATTTGTAATAGCCAAAGAGTAGAAGCAGTCCAGATGTCTTACCAACTTATAAGTGGATGAACAGATATGTCCATATATAAGAGAGTTGGGCGTGGTAGCGCATGGTTCTCTTCCCAGCACTTAGGAGGCTGAGCCAGGAGGCTCATCGTGAATTTGATCCTGGGCTACATAATGAGCTCAAGTCTAGCATAAAGTGTATAGCAAAGTCCTGTCTCAATAAAAACATAGAGTTGTAAGTGAAAAATAAGGTGAATGTTTACAATTTAAAAAATTTATTACAGTAGAAGGCATTGCCATTAATCCGTGTCAAAATACTCCTCACTTTGAACATACTTACCCATGGTTCTTGGCTAATTTTCAGAGGTGTTCTGGAAGCCCTGTTTTGTAAGCATTTTAGTCGCACTGTCCCGCTGCCTTGATGTCCTGCATCAGTCAAAGCTTTTACCTTTCTAAGTCTTTCTGGCTCTGAGGGAGCAGAAGTTACGCAGCCACGTGAGTCGAGGACATAGTCATGTTAGTGCGAGCCTGTCTTGACACGGTGGGCGGCTCAGAGGCTACAGTTCCCGCCTTTGAGAGCTGCTGGGAACAAGTGTGCTCCCTTACGCTTGCTTGTTGTAAGTGGGGAGTGCGGTTCTGACGGCAGAGAGCCCCAGCAGAGCCGGCCGGCAGTGTGATTCACTGATAGCACAGAGGGGTGAGTTGGGTGATGTCAAAAGGCTGATAGCCTCTTTCCCTTCTGCTACCAAAAATGGTTTTGTTGTTACTATTTTTATTGGTTGGTTTGGTTTTTTGGCTGTGTTAGGAATCAAACCAAGAGCTTGCACATTGCTGGGTTTTGTTTGTTTGTTTGTTTGTTTTGTTTTTGTCTTTTTCCTTTTTCCTTTTTATCGGTACTGGGGGTTGAACTCACGACTGCCTGCTTGCAAGGCAGGCGCTTATGCCGCTGAGCTAAACCCCCAGCCCCTAGCTTGCACATTGCTGAGCAGACTTTCTATCACTAGATGTATTCTAGTGCTCAAGATATATTTTGGTTTTTGGTTTTTGTTTTATGTTTTTTTTTTCTTTCGTCTTGAGACAAAACAGTGTATCCAGGCGTACTCTGTAGTCCAGGCTGCCCTTGCTCTCACTACATAGCCCAGCCTGGCCTCAAACTCTTGGTGACTCTCCTCCCTCAGCCTCCTGTTCTTTGTATTTTTGAGATAAGGTCTTACATACAGTGGTACTGTATGTGAGGTACTGCAACAGATGGGAATTCTGATGGCACAGGTTGGAGAAGAGAAAAAATTTCATTTTGGGAATTTCTGTTCCTAGAGTAATGATGGCAGACTTTTTGGAGTTTTCAGTGATATGAACAGCCTCCACATGAGTGCTGTAGTTTCCCTCTCTGTCCTAGAGTATGAGTGTCAGATCCAGCATGAAAGTGGCTTGTGGGAAAGGTTTGCATAGAGAAACACAACGCATTGAGATCCCTGATAAAATAAGGTGGGGAGGCCCTGTCAGCAGAAGGTGAGATGCTGAGAGGGATAAAATAAAATGCTTATTACATGCTAGAATGTGTATTGTGACTTTACCAGTCATGATAATATGATAGTATAACCAATGTATGATAGGAAGAAAGATAGTTGTTAGGCATTGGTAGCATTGTCTAACTTCATCAGTTTGTTTTTGGTCTTTTTGAGATAGGGTTTCACTATGCAGTTCAGGTTGGCCTTGAACTCACAATGTAGTCCAGGCTGGTTTTGAACACACAGCAATCCTGCCTCAGCCTCCTGAGTGCTGGGATTACAGGTGTGTACCACTGTGCCTGGCAGCATTGTCTAACTTTTGAGAAAAGTTCTCATTATGTTGTTAATGTTTCCCAAATTAGCCTTGAACCTGTAATCCTTCTATTTCAGCCTCTCAAAGTGCCAGAATTTTGTCTGATTTCTATAAAAGTAATTAGTCTTTTGAATATACATGTGCTGTGAAAAGTGGTCAGTGTCAGTGCATTAATTTTGCCTTTGCTTTTGAATAAATTACAAAAAAACATTTTGCCTGAAGTTGACTGTTACATCTTCTTCAAATGTTTAAGTGTTCATCTGAGATAAATTTAACTGTTGCTAAACCCTGTTTTCCATTATTTGGCCTAATGTAGATACCAGGTTTTTGTTTCTTGATTTCTGTTTGTTTGGGCTGTCCCATTAATAGCAAGGTCTTGTAATTCTTTTCCTTAAAATTTGTCTTTCTTTCTCTATTGATATATCATAGCCTGAATGATACCATTTCTTCTACCCTTCAAATTAACCTACATGCCAGTGTACTCTTAAAGCATCAGCTTCACTCTTCATTCCTCTGTTTAAAAACCGGCCAAGTGTGGTAGTGCACACCTGTAATCCCAGGACTCAGAATGCTGAGGGAAGAGGATCACCTTGAGTTGAAGGCTAAACTGCATAGGAAGATCCTGTCTCAGACAACTGACATAGCATAACCAAAAGAGCCCTGGGTATGTACCTCAGTGGTAGAGTGTCCAAAGAGTCCAAAGAGCTCGCTGCAGCACCCATGCCGTGGATTAATCACCACTGACAGGAAGGCCCTAAATATGATTCCAACTTGGAAAACAAGACAGAAAGCTTAAAGGTCCCTGTGATCTTTTACACTTTTTTTTTTCTTTTTTCTTTTTATCGGTACCGGGGATCAAACTCACGACCACCTGCTTGTAAGGCAGGTGCTTATGCCGCTGAGCTAAATCCCCAGCCCCTTTGATTTTTTTTTACACTTTTCTTCTTCTTTTTTTCTCCGTGATCTTTTACAACTGAACTTCCCAGGATATTAGGATTCCTATAATTCTGTCAGTTTACTAATTCAGCCCTGTTCCTACCACCTTGGGTGTAAATCTTATGTGTTAGTCATCTTATAAACTGCTCATATGGCATGATTTCACCCCCTCTGCTGCCCCCAGTGCTGGGGATTGATCCCAGGGCCTTGCACATTCTAGGGAAGTGCTCTACCTCTGAGCAGCAGCTCCAGCCCTCCTGCCTGGCGCTCTCCCTCACAGAGCGCTCTTTGTCCCACTCCCTCTCCAGGGTCTGCGCATTTTTCTGAATGTAGTATAGACTACTGCCGCAAAGGAAGCATCTAAGCTCTGTGGGCTCTATCAATGTGTTTTTTTCAAAATCGTGTGGTATTTAAGCATTTATTACATTTATACTTTATTGTTATCCTTTTCTGTGGTACCTAGTGTTCTTTGCCCAACAAAATTAATAGTTTTTTTTAAGAACAAACTGTAGGGGCTGGGGATTTAGCTCAGCGGCATAAGTGCCTGCCTTGCAAGCAGGCAGTGGTGAGTTCGATCCCCGGTACCGATAAAAAGGAAAAAGGCAAAAAAAAAAAAAAAAAAAAAAAAAGAACAAACTGTATATCTTATCTTTTTTTTGAGTCAGGGTCTTGCTTTGTAGTTCAGCCTTGAGCTCATTATGTAGGCGAATTCAGGCTGACCTTGAACTCGTAGCCATCCTCCTACCTCAGCCTCCCGAGTGCTGGGATTACAGGCTTGGTTTTTATCCTGTTTACTGTAATCCACTGCCAGATGTATTGATTTTCAAGAAATATTTGATTGAAATGGTATTTTTGACTGGGGACAGGTACATAAGACAGCATTCTTATGTGCTTATTTACATACGTATGTAAAATTGAAAGATGGCCCCTTAAAAACTCAAACTCAGCTTTTTAAAATGTTATTCTCAGGGCTAGGGTATAGCTCAGTGGTAGAATAAATGTGTAGGATGCTCCAGGCCCTGGGTTTGATCTGTAGTACAATATGACCTCACATAAGTCTGACTTTACCATAATGTCTCTGTGCTAGTTCGCTGATCTGTGTAACAGATCTCTCCAAAATGTTCTGGCTTCAGGCTGTTTGTAGAATCGGTGGGCTGGGAGTCAGGGTGGGGTCTTCAAGGCCATAGGCAGAGGCGCAGTGGGCTCAGCCGTCCTGGGGACGGGGAGCAGCCCAGGTGCCCTCAACAGGTTATGGGTGGGCCAGCTCCCCATGGGCTGTGGGACCAAGACTGCAGTTCTGTGCCGCCCCAGCCCTGTGCGTTCCCTGCCTGGCTGGCCTTGGAGTGAGCAGCTGAGCAACAGAACTGCGTAAGTGGAAGTGACTTGTTCCTTCTGTCACGTTTTATTCTTTAGAAGTGCATTGGTAAATCCATTTAGCACTCAAGGGAAGGGGATTACAAGTGGCTATCAATATAAAGCAGATGTTTAAATTTTGTTTAATATCAAACTATCACTTAATGAAACAGTCTTAAATACTGCTTCCAAAGACTGTAACAGATGTAGGAATAGATTGATAATATCCAGGTAGACGCTGATAGCAGCTAATACATACTCTTCAGGAGATAACGTATGCATCAGTGAGTGAATGTCATAAATGATAAATCCACAGAAAAGAAGGACTCCTCCGGCAGCTAAGATCAGTTCCATTGTCTCACTATGAAAAAACATCTTCAAGAATCCTGACAGGACAGCAAACAGCCCTGCTCCAAATTTACTGAAGTCTCTCTTGAATTGTAAAGTATATACAGTCAAACCAAGAGAATCATATTTAGGGCCTTCCTGTCAGTGGTGATTAATCCACGGCATGGGTGCTGCAGCGAGCTCTTTGGACTCTTTGGACACTCTACCACTGAGGTACATACCCAGGGCTCTTTTGGTTATGCTATGTCAGTTGTCTGAGACAGGATCTTCCTATGCAGTTTAGCCTTCAACTCAAGGTGATCCTCTTCCCTCAGCATTCTGAGTCCTGGGATTACAGGTGTGCACTACCACACTTGGCCGGTTTTTAAACAGAGGAATGAAGAGTGAAGCTGATGCTTTAAGAGTACACTGGCATGTAGGTTAATTTGAAGGGTAGAAGAAATGGTATCATTCAGGCTATGATATATCAATAGAGAAAGAAAGACAAACTTTAAGGAAAAGAATTACAAGACCTTGCTATTAATGGGACAGCCCAAACAAACAGAAATCAAGAAACAAAAACCTGGTATCTACATTAGGCCAAATAATGGAAAACAGGGTTTAGCAACAGTTAAATTTATCTCAGATGAACACTTAAACATTTGAAGAAGATGTAACAGTCAACTTCAGGCAAAATGTTTTTTTGTAATTTATTCAAAAGCAAAGGCAAAATTAATGCACTGACACTGACCACTTTTCACAGCACATGTATATTCAAAAGACTAATTACTTTTATAGAAATCAGACAAAATTCTGGCACTTTGAGAGGCTGAAATAGAAGGATTACAGGTTCAAGGCTAATTTGGGAAACATTAACAACATAATGAGAACTTTTCTCAAAAGTTAGACAATGCTGCCAGGCACAGTGGTACACACCTGTAATCCCAGCACTCAGGAGGCTGAGGCAGGATTGCTGTGTGTTCAAAACCAGCCTGGACTACATTGTGAGTTCAAGGCCAACCTGAACTGCATAGTGAAACCCTATCTCAAAAAGACCAAAAACAAACTGATGAAGTTAGACAATGCTACCAATGCCTAACAACTATCTTTCTTCCTATCATACATTGGTTATACTATCATATTATCATGACTGGTAAAGTCACAATACACATTCTAGCATGTAATAAGCATTTTATTTTATCCCTCTCAGCATCTCACCTTCTGCTGACAGGGCCTCCCCACCTTATTTTATCAGGGATCTCAATGCGTTGTGTTTCTCTATGCAAACCTTTCCCACAAGCCACTTTCATGCTGGATCTGACACTCATACTCTAGGACAGAGAGGGAAACTACAGCACTCATGTGGAGGCTGTTCATATCACTGAAAACTCCAAAAAGTCTGCCATCATTACTCTAGGAACAGAAATTCCCAAAATGAAATTTTTTCTCTTCTCCAACCTGTGCCATCAGAATTCCCATCTGTTGCAGTACCTCACATACAGTACCACTGTATGTAAGACCTTATCTCAAAAATACAAAGAACAGGAGGCTGAGGGAGGAGAGTCACCAAGAGTTTGAGGCCAGGCTGGGCTATGTAGTGAGAGCAAGGGCAGCCTGGACTACAGAGTACGCCTGGATACACTGTTTTGTCTCAAGACGAAAGAAAAAAAAAACATAAAACAAAAACCAAAAACCAAAATATATCTTGAGCACTAGAATACATCTAGTGATAGAAAGTCTGCTCAGCAATGTGCAAGCTAGGGGCTGGGGGTTTAGCTCAGCGGCATAAGCGCCTGCCTTGCAAGCAGGCAGTCGTGAGTTCAACCCCCAGTACCGATAAAAAGGAAAAAGGAAAAAGACAAAAACAAAACAAACAAACAAACAAACAAAACCCAGCAATGTGCAAGCTCTTGGTTTGATTCCTAACACAGCCAAAAAACCAAACCAACCAATAAAAATAGTAACAACAAAACCATTTTTGGTAGCAGAAGGGAAAGAGGCTATCAGCCTTTTGACATCACCCAACTCACCCCTCTGTGCTATCAGTGAATCACACTGCCGGCCGGCTCTGCTGGGGCTCTCTGCCGTCAGAACCGCACTCCCCACTTACAACAAGCAAGCGTAAGGGAGCACACTTGTTCCCAGCAGCTCTCAAAGGCGGGAACTGTAGCCTCTGAGCCGCCCACCGTGTCAAGACAGGCTCGCACTAACATGACTATGTCCTCGACTCACGTGGCTGCGTAACTTCTGCTCCCTCAGAGCCAGAAAGACTTAGAAAGGTAAAAGCTTTGACTGATGCAGGACATCAAGGCAGCGGGACAGTGCGACTAAAATGCTTACAAAACAGGGCTTCCAGAACACCTCTGAAAATTAGCCAAGAACCATGGGTAAGTATGTTCAAAGTGAGGAGTATTTTGACACGGATTAATGGCAATGCCTTCTACTGTAATAAATTTTTTAAATTGTAAACATTCACCTTATTTTTCACTTACAACTCTATGTTTTTATTGAGACAGGACTTTGCTATACACTTTATGCTAGACTTGAGCTCATTATGTAGCCCAGGATCAAATTCACGATGAGCCTCCTGGCTCAGCCTCCTAAGTGCTGGGAAGAGAACCATGCGCTACCACGCCCAACTCTCTTATATATGGACATATCTGTTCATCCACTTATAAGTTGGTAAGACATCTGGACTGCTTCTACTCTTTGGCTATTACAAATAATTTTATAAATATTCCTGTGCAAGTTTTTGTTTAGACATCTACTTTTTTAGCTCTTTTAAGCAAATACTAGATGTCAAACTTCAGAATTATATGGCATTCCACATTTAAACTTTTTAACTCTCGGGATCAGTTATCCTCTTGAGTCATCTACCTTAGTGGCCAGGACTGCAGGCCTGCCTCGCCACACTTAGCTTTGTATGTAACATCCCCCAATCCAGGGACAGGAGTGTGCTCGGCAAGTGTTCTACCACTGAGCCATATCCCTAGTCCTGTTTTTGTTTGTTGATTAGTTGGTTTTTGAGGCACTGGGAATGGAATACAGAACCACTCTACCACTAAGCTATACTCCTAGCTTAGCTCATTTATTTATGCTGTACTGGGTACTAAAACTAGGGAGGGAGCATTACATTCCCAACTCCCCCCACTGCCCCACTTTTTTTTGGGTCAGAGTTTCACTATATGCAATTCAGGCTGGCCTCGAACTCACAGTGATCCTCCTGCTTCAGTCTCTGAGTGCTGGGATCACAGGCATGTACCACCATGCCTGGCCACCAGCCCTTTTAAGTAAGTTTGTAGGCCAGTGGGTGGAGCCAGCCTATAACTGCACCACAGGAAGGCTGAGGCACGACAGCTGTGAGTTCAAGGCCATGCTGGGCTACATAGTGAGTTTAAAGTCAGCTGCACTACAAAGCACACCCTGTCTCTAAAAAAAAAGAAAACAACACCAAAAAAACATAAATCAAGGTGTCTTGAGAAGTCACTAATTTGCTAATCCTTCCTGGGTTTCCCACAATGCTAGAATTACAGGTGTGAGCCACTACGCCAGGTTTTTTATTTTGAGCTAAGTCTCACTCAACTGCCCAGACAGGCTTTGAACTCTGGATTTTCCTGCCTCATCCTCCTGAAGAGCAAGGATCACTGAGGACCACTACAGCCCCGTTCCCGAGGTGCCCGCTTCATCTTACACTGGTGCCGTCTGTGTGAGGCCTCCAGTCCTCACTTATCTCCAGGCAGCACACTCACTCAGGCTGTCAAGCTCTGCCAGTGATGGCAACAGCCATGGGCAACTTCAGTCTTCACCCTGCTGATTGAGATCTGGCTATCCTCACTGTATTTGAAAACTTCTTCACCTGGAATCTAGAAAATCACAGCTACCTGTTTTCTTCTCCATACCTGTTCTTTCTTTCCTAACTTTTTTTTCTTTTGGCAGTACTGGGAATTGAACACAGGGCCCTCACACTGAGCAACTTCTTAAAAAAAAAATTTTTTTTTTTTGAAGCAATATCTACGCTGCTAAATTGTCTAAGCTATGCTCAAAAGTGTGATCCTCTTGCCTCAGCCTCCCAGCTCACTCAGTAGTTGTCCAAGTCTCCATCATAACAGCCCACTGGGCCCATGGGATCAGGTGCCATTAACCCTCTGAGCTCCCCTTCCCGCCCTCTGCGACTCCCTGGAGTCACACTGACTGCTCCTCAAAAGGAGCAAGCACAATCAGCCTTCTTCATGACACAGATTTTGGAAATCCTGAAGTGTAAAAATCATTAGCTAATTAAGAGGGATAAAAAGGAAGTCTGCTCGGCGGTTTCTAGGTACAGTGCTCAGTCATCTGTCTGTAAGTACAAGGCCCAGGCCCGTGGCCAGGGAGTAAGGATTAAATGATATAATTACACAAGAAAAGGGCCTTCCAAAGCTACAATCCCAAGAGGCTTACTCCACTAAGCCTCTATCTTACAAAAAATTAAAACATAAAATCAAATCAGTGGGTTGTTTGGAATGATGGAAACAAACTATCAGCTGACAAAAAAGATTACCTATCTGATAACAGAATGAGTACATAAATTCTTCGTTTAACACATTGTTTCCCCCCAAAAAAGCAAAAAACCCCAGAAACAGAACAAAGCTTTGGTAAATAAGGAGGGGAAGAAGGACTGAAGGGAGGATAAGAGAATGCAAAGAAAAAAAAAAAGAGAGAGAACTGAGGGAAGTAATGTACAGGCACAAAGTCCCTAAGATGAAAATGATTATGTATATTTGAAATGTACCAAGAAACTTAATTAAAATCAAAACAAAATAAACAAAACAGAACAACAGCAACAAAAATACATTGCTTCCCTCATCAAGAAAATTCTTTCAGGCATAGTGCTGCTTGCCTATAATCCCAGCATGTCTGAAGCAGAAGAATCCCAAATTCCTATCCAGCCCACTGGCAATTTACAAAGACCCTGTCTCAAAATTTCTTTTTTTTTGTCTTTTGTCTTTTTCTTTTTTATCGGTACCAGGGATCGAACTCACGACTGCGCACTTGCAAGACAGGCGCTTACGCCGCTGAGCTAAGCCCCCCCCCCCCCCCCCCCGTCTCAAAATTTAAAAAATAATTTTAAAAAGGACTGGGGGATATAGTTTAATACTAAGGCCCTGGGTTCAATTCCCAGAATAGAAAAAAAAAATTTTTTTTTGCTATGAAAAAATTACAGATGAACTAAATAGTATATTTACTAATGAATGAAATTATAAATGTTTTACAGCCTGGAATAAGTTCCTATTCCACTGCAGGCCAATAATTAGTATTTCAAAATCTGGCATAATCCAAAAATCAAAGTTTTGAAAGCAATGCCATAAGTCACCTTTGTCATTTTTAAATTTTATAGTGTTGAGGACCAAACCAGGCCCTTGCACAGGTAGGCACGCACTCAACCACCAGGTTACAGCTCCAGCCCACTGCTTTCACTCTAATTCATGTCTATCTAATATTTTTAAATACTAGCTATATGTAGTGTCAGTTTCTGTGCCTTCTCCCTTTCTGCGGTTTACAGGAATTAATATGCATCTTGTTTCCGGGATATACTCACTCTCCTTATTTCTGTTACAGAATTTCACTGTTGCTTAGGAGAAGGCTATATAATACCCAACAACACTAACATCCTTGTAAACATTTTTTAATTAAAAATTCAAATTATATTATTACTTCAGAAAGGTGAGCCTGTGTAATATACCAATTTTGAAAGAAATATAAAATCATCCGCTCTTCAATACTAACCTAAATATTCCATCAGCTGCTCAGCAGTGATGATTTCCATCATTGGGGGGAGTTTCACCTGAAAAAGAAAGAACAGTCTATAAAATTCAGTGCTTCAGATGACTCAAGTACTTCTTGAGGTCAGAAACCTAAATATTTACGTATGTTGGGATAGCTCTACTATGCTTGTCTACCATACTCACACCTTAACATTTCCTACTGCCATAAGAGTATCACGGTGCTGTAAGAGACACTGAGAAATCTGGGTTCAAAGCCAAGTTCTGTCTGTTACCCCATTCCTAACTGTCTTTGCACCTCCCACAGTGCATGACAGACCATTTGGTTATAGAGCAGGAACAGGTACCAAATATGGCAGACATTCCATTAAGTCCACTCTGGCCATTTAATGAATACAGTATTAAAGTACTATTAAACAATGAAGAATTCATCTGTATGATTCTACTTGTAATGTAAAGTTTAAAAACTGATGCCAGGCATACTGTCATACACCTGTAATCCCGGATACCTGGGAGACAGAGGCAGAAAATCACAAGTCTGAGGCCATGCTGGGCAACTTAGCTGGGATGCAGCTCAGTGGGAGAGAACGACAGGGTTCAGTCTTCAACAACAGACGCACATGTGCAAAGACACATGCACAGAAATAACAGAAGTAAACTACTACGTGCTGTTTAGAGCTACACATTTAGGCAGTAAAAATACCAAGAACAACAGTAAGGAAAAAGATACTGTGAAAATTAGGATATAGTACCCACAGGGGAAAGAGAGGCGTTAATCTTCGAAAGGGCACGCAAGATGAATCTTAGACCCTGGCAATGCTGTTTCTTTCTCTTCTCTTTCACTACTGGAGACTGAACCCACGGTCTTCCCACCAAGCTACATCCACAGCCCTTTGTATGTTTTGTGTTTTGTTTTGTGTTTTGTTTTTTGAGATGGGGTCTCACTAAATTGTCCAGGCCAGGCCTGAACTTGTGATCTTCCCGTTTCAGCTTCCCAGAATGCTAGAACTACACCTGTGTGCCACCACACCCTGCTCCAACACAATTTGGAAGTTGAGGAAATACTTGAGATCCAAAACTGAGGTTTTATTTATTTGATACAGTGTTTCACCACGCAGTTCAGGCAGGCCTTGAATTCACTGTGTAGCCCAAGTGGCCTCTAACTCTGGACCTTCTTCCTGCCTCAGCCTTCCTAGTGGCACTATGCCTGGCTGAAACTGAGTCTTCGAAGGTCTCTGGTCTTTACTGGATTAGCTACTAACTGCCATTCGATTCTTCCCTTATTCCATGGCAATCCTGTGAAACAGGTAGTATTACCTTAATTCAAAACCACATGAAGGTTTTTTGGAAACAGTGTCTTGCTATGCAGGTAGGCTGGCCCTGGACTGGCTACGGAGCTAGGTTACCCTTCGGTTTGTACCAATCATCCTGTCTCAGCCTGCCTGAGTGCTAAGATTACTGGCCTGGCTAGGTTTTAAAACAGCTGATCAAAGTAAGTAACAGGGTTGTAATGTGAATTGGATCTAACACCAAAGCCAATTATCTTTTCCAATATACAGTATTAACAGGTGTCAGACACACAAGTTTAAGTATCACATGGTTAATCTTATATGAGAAACCCAAAATATAAACAGCAAAAAAAAAAAAGACAGGTAACTAGAAGTAGAGAAAGAGACCAAGAGATGAAAGCAGAGAGTGAGAGGGAAGGGGAATGAGAAAGGGAGGAAGATATGCGAAGTACACACACCAACCCCCTATAAGGAACGTAAAATGTACTCATAAATTTCAAAAACCCTTATTTACAAATTCATAAAACAATGAACAGAACACTTCCATTCAGTAAAATATTGAGCAACATACTCAGGGTGCAGCTCGCTGATCCTGAGCTTGTCCAGCACATACAAGGCCCAAGGTTTGCGGCACAAAACAAAACAAAAAGCCTGAACATATTTCCAGCTAAGTCTGAACTTTTTGACCAATAAATAGTAGAGGCTGCCAGGAAAAGAATGAAGGCTTTTATTCTAAAAATTAGGATTGCTCGAATATCCAAATTATGGAATTTGGCAACTGAAGGTAAGTTTATAGGAAAAATGGTGCCACTTTAGAACTGTGCTAATCTGTTTGATACTCGAACAGCAAGTTAAGAACTCAGGAGATAACCTGCTTCGTTTTGTGTTGAGTCAACGTCTGGACCTGAACTCTCAATCTTCCTGCCTCAGACCCCCAGTGTCCTGAGATCACAGGTGGCGGCCCCACAGCTTGGTGTGAGATAACATTTTAAATTCAGAGTATTTGACTCATACCAGTGTATTCTTTCCATTATTGTTGGCCCTCCATATGCACAGGTTCCACATCTGTAGGTTCAATCAACCAGATCAGAAAATGCTCAGGGAGGGGGCTGGGGATTTAGCTCAGTGGCATAAGCACCTGCCTTGCAAGCAGGCAGTGGTGAGTTCGATCCCTGGTACCGAAAAGACAAAAAAAAAAAAAAAAAAAAAAAAGAAAATGCTCAGGGGAGAATGGCACCTATACTGAACATGCACACTCTTTAGTTGCCATGTTTCTTCGAACCATCTAGCTGGGCATGGTGGTACATGTCTATAATCCCAGCACTCCTGAGGCTGAGGTAGGAGAAGCAATGCAAGCCTGAACTGCAGGGTGAAACCGTATCTCAAAAAGCCAAAAATAAATAAAAAAATAAAAATCCCCCAAAACAACAACAAAAATAATCACATGGGCATGGTGCCCCATGCCTATGACCCCAGCACTCAGAAGCTGAGGCAGAAGAATCGCTTTAAATCTGAGGCCAGCGTGGGTCACAAAGTGAGCTCAAGGCCAGTGGCAACTGCTGAGCAAAAACCCTTACTTGAAAAGACAAAAAATATGGGTCTGGGGATTTAGCTCAGCAGCATAAGTACCTGCCTTGCAAGCAGGTAGTCATGAGTTCGATCCCCCTGGTACCGATAAAAAAAAAAAAGTTAAAAGACAAAAAAACAAAGAAACAAAATCAATTTGGTGTGACAACTATTTACATAGCACTTACATTGTATTAAGTATTATAAGCAATTGAAATAATTTAAAACACACAGGAGAAAGTACATAGGTCATATGCAAACACAATGCCATTACACATTACATACAAGAGACCGGAACACCCACGGAGATCCTGGGAACAATCCCCACAGACACTGGGAGACAACTGTTCTTTTTGTTTTTTTTTGGTACTGGGGATCTAACTCATGACCTCGTGCTTGCCAGGGCAGGTGCTTACACCACTGAGCTAAACCCCGGGCCGGGACAACTGTTCTTACGGTAATGGACCAGCTGAACCATAGGATTTCTCCATACTTCACACTTCACTAATTTCAAATACGCAGTACAGACATATGTACACTAATATATTCAGGGTGAATACATATCATTCATGCTTTGTTAGCTGAAATTGCAAAGAAATTATTTTGAGACTATTAAAAGTATTAATGAGACTCAAGAAATGCAGCCTTTCGCATTTATTCAAAGAACTCAAAAAACTTGAGGATCCTCAATACCCCTTCAATTTTGGATTCACCCAATAAAATGTATATAAACCATTATGCATCATGCTTTACATTTTACTTTCTCTCTGTATCTTTATTCATTACTGAGAGTAACTCAGTACTTAAAAACATTAAAGTACAGCTGGGTGCAGAGGCACACACCTGTAATCCCAGCACTCAGGGGACAGAGGCAAGCTCAGGGCCAGCCTGGACAACACAAGAGCCTCAGGGCCAGGGATACATATGGCTCAGAGGCAAGCTTGAGAGACCCTAGGTTCAATCCCCAGTACTTTGAGGAAAAAATTCGAATACTTTATTATTATTATTTAAAGCTTATGACTGTTCATACCTCCTGTACCCAACAGCCTTGACCTGGTCTCAATACACAAGGTTGGAAGACAGAGAAGAGTATAGCTGACCCGCCTGGAAGGCAGAGAAGCAAGCGAGCACAGCTGTCACTGACAGGCAGCAAGCACACTCGGGCAGTGTCACTGTCTCGTGATCAGGAACAACCAAAGACGCACCACCAGTCCTAATGCTTGGCACAGCGTGGGGACGAAAGGCCCACTTGTGCTCCTTCAATCTGCTCCAGAAACAAAACCACTGTGTGAAACTATTAATCTCATCTTATAATATCTACATTTAAAGCCCAGAGGGCAGAGACTGAGATGAAACCTTTGGCTCACCATTTGTGCTTCTTTTGTGTAAGTAATAGATGTTCAAAAGACTTCCAATGGTTGTTTAGGAAAAGAGGAAAAAAATAATAAATCCCAACGAGAAGCAAGAAGTATGTAGCAAAGCAATGTCATCAAGCAGAGAGGGGAAAGCCAGGCATTGTGGCACACACCTGCATCCCAGCACTTGGGGAGGCCCAGCCAGAAACTCTGGAGTTCATGGCCAGCTTGGATACACGGTGAGACTAGCTCAAGAAACAATAAAAGGATGTTAGCTCTCTAACAGGTCACTTGGGCAATGCAGTATTCCTCTCAGTCTATAGTGTGCTTTGATTTAGTTTAGCTGGGTTTGTTTTTGGTGTGTGTATGGGGGTGTATTTGTTTCATTTTTAATTTTAAACTCTAAATATTTTACAGAATCAAATGCATCAATTCTTATCTTACAGTTTCTAGATTGATGTGTGGAGTCACCAGTCTACCATAAAACAATTTTGCTTCAGGATCTTGGCATTCTTCCCTTGACCTACAGCAAGACACAGCTTTAGCTCCTAACAAGCAAAGAAAGAAAACAAGCTGGGCGTGTTGGTGCGTGCCTGCAATCGCAGCATTCTGGAAGGCTGAAGCATGAGGACTGTGAGTTTCAGCCCACCCTGGGCAATTCAGCACCTCATCAACAATTTATGAAAAGTTAAATGGAAGAATTAGTGTATAGATGAAAGAACAATAATGAGAATAAATGAATTTTCCATAGGGAGTGGTCAGCTGTAGTTCTCAACCTTTTCTATCCCTCTGTCCCCTGAGTAGCCGGGAATGCAGGTGTTTGCTGGGGCTATAGCTAAGACCAGAAGCCCTAGGTCCAATCCTTAGTACTACAAAAAGAAAATGGGGAAAAGAACTCCCTACCGAAAAGGAGGATAGGCTACGTATCTCCAGCATCTTCAGTTAAAACACTGCATTCGTTCTACAAAAATGCTAATGCTAACACGACGGTTAGGTCTTATAATACTTTATGTCCTCTATCAAAATGTACACTATAGGTTCCACATAAGTTTTTTTGTGTGTACAGTACATTGGCCTCAAATCTGTAACATTCTTTCCCCCCCACCAAAAAGAAAAGTATAAGAAAGTAGTGACCATTTTTACATTAATACTTTTTTTTTTTGGTACCGGGGATTGAACTCACGATCTTGCACTTGCCACGCAAGCACTTATGCTGCTGAGCTAAATCCCCAGCCCTGTTTTTACATTAATACTCTTACATATATAAAAATATTAAGGCAGGCTAGGTATGGTGGCGCACACCTGAAACCTCAGCACTCAAGAGGCTGCTGCAGAGAGCTGCCGAGTTTGAGGCCAGCCTAGGCTAGTGAATTTAAAGCCAGCCTGAAGAACATGGGAGAGAGACCCTGTCTTAAATAAATAAATAAATATATATATATATATATATTTTTTTTTTTTAAACCCTAAACTTCTCAATACTTTTATCTCTCGCCTCTTTAATTACTGATTTTGGTAATTATTTTGCAAAAATGGAAAATAATGAAGGTTCAATTTTCACCTACCTCACTGCGTTGTCTCTGAAATTTCCTTGTTCTGTTCCTCCAGAAACCCAGATTGTTCATTTCTTGTGAAGAGAACCACCTAAGTCTTAGGATTCTGTATTACTCTGATTTTTTGGCAATGTTGTAGCCATATTTGTTCTTCTTGGCAAAATCTTTCCTATTCAATATGCTCCTTGATGCTACTGTATTACCCAAGGTAACTGACCAATTTCTAAAATTCTAGACTCTCGTCCTTGTTGGGAGCCGCGTCTGTGATAGCTCGCCTTGCGCGGCGGACGTGCGGCCTGTGGTAAAGAGCAAAGCCTGAGGTAGATTACCCCTCCCATCGAGCACGTTAGTTTCCTGCTTACCGCGTAAGCAACCCGCTCAACAATATAGTCTGCCTGGCAACTGATGATGTTAGCCAATCAGCTTGCCTTGCTCACTTTAACATGATTGGACACTGTATCCGTATATATACTGGTGCCACCCCTGGGGGGGAAGAAGAAGCCCGGAAGTAGAAGCCCAGAAGGAGCCGCGGGGAGCGGACCAGAGGAGGCTTCAGCTGGGAGAACCCAGGGCAGGCTGTACAGAAAAGAAAAATAAAAAAAAAAGGTTGTCCACTACCAGACTTTGTCGTGTGTCCTTCCTGCCGGCCGGGAGCGGACATCGACACGTCCTGACTAGGATGACACTGTTCTACTTTTTATCCCACTGTACATGTCAAATGGTGCATATGCTGGTTTCACTCTTACGCTCTTTGCTGGAAATATTCTTCCACTTTTACTACTCTCTTCCTCTCTTTCTCTTGTGGCGAATGGAGCGAAGGACTAAGTGGAGAAACAGAGGTAATAAGACAGCCAACATGTTTCTGTCAGCAATTTGTAAGTCTTCCTGTATGCTGGGATAGAAAAAGGTTGAGAACTACAGCTGACCACTCCCTATGGAGAATTCATTTATTCTCATTATTGTTCTTTCATCTATACACTAATTCTTCCACTTAACTTTTCTCAGCATTTTGATCTCTTTCCCGAGACCTAACATGTTTCTTCCCAACTGGACACAACCAAACTTTGGCATTAACTTTCCTATCTAAAATGATTCCATTTACACCAATCTTCCTATCAATCAGTAATGATTAGTAATAACTGATTTCTGTGGGCATTAAAGCTATAGAAAGCCATAAGTGCCCATCTGAAATCTTGGCACTCTGAGAGGAAGATGCAGGACTGCAAGACTGAGCCAAGCCTCAGCAATTTGAGACCCTGTCTCAGAAAAATTTAAAAAGTACTGGAGATGTAGTATAGCTCAGGGCAAAAGTTCCTGGTTCAATCCCCAGTACTATAAAACAAAACTAACCTAGAAGCAAAAAAAAAAAAAAAGGGAGGCTGAAAACCACAACTCATAAGAGAAACTTCAAAATTCATTAGGATGTCTGCTCATTCACAGTCTAACCAAAACTACCTATTTCTTTTCCTTCTTCCAATGCATTTCAGCCAAGGCTGGAGGTCCCAAACAATACACCCTTTTCTCCTTCAGCATCCCTTGGCCAAAGGCCTTTTCTCATTCAGCCGCAGACCTGGTTCTCAGGTTCTCTCTGCTATGAAAACTTCGGATGGCAGTTTCATCCCCAAATTACCCTGACCTGTGCACTTCTGTTGCACACTGCTCTACAATTAGTTTATCTGTCTGCCTCCATGCTATATCGTGAGCTACCTGTGGGCAGATTCGCACTGCACTCACCTGTGCATTCCACACAGACTGGCAACCCCGACTGTGATCACGCTCTCCAATCCCTCAGAGCCAGTGCAATGCTCATCTACTCCCGAGCACGCCAGGCACTGGGTACTTCCCTCCTTCCTCTGAAGTTCTGCAGTATGGATACGAAGAAGACAAAAGCCTAAAGGAAACTAAGGCATTCCTTCCTGCAGAAGCAAGTGGGGACTCTGGCCCATAGAACCAAATACAATTCGCCGTTCAAGTGCTTCCATCTAGTGTGTCTTCTTTGCCTTTTCAATATTTTATCATTCTCCAATATGAACTTACTGCTTGTCATCTAATAAACACACACAAAAGTACACAAAATATCCACTCTGTTTTCATTACTTTTGTTTACACTCTTCTCCCTCAAGAATTAAATTTTTTTTATTCTTCTTTCCCTTAAAAGCTTGGTTTAAGACTCACAATTCCATAAAGCTTTCTGGGGCTATGCTAGACCAAAGAAAAATTTCCCCCTTTGGGTATCTAACGCATTTCTATTTGCTCTGTGTAACCTAGTAGTATTTACTACTCTCTAACGTCAACTAACTCAGTGCAGCAATCCCAAACATTTTGACAACTCCAGAGCAGGCACTGCCCCCGCTCCAAAAGACTGGCGCTATCTTACACAGGTGATAGCAATGTTTCTAATCTTACTTTTAAAGATTGTGGTGGGGGGCAGGGTGCTGGGGACCAAACCCAGAGTACAGTGCACTCTAGGCAGGTGCTCTACCATGAGCTTCATCCTCAGTTCATCTTTTGTTTTTCTGGATTGGCCCTTGCTAACAACAGGAAGTCAAGACATTTAATAAATAGCATTTGCTTTACTTGCTTTTGTTCCTAACTGGTCAGAATAACCCAACCTATTTTCCTCCCACAGACATTTTTTCTATAGTACAGTTATAAATTTGAAAATAAAACAGGTGCCTTGGGATAATCTTCTTGGCACCCTAAAACTGAACGCTTAAATGAGAAGTTTCACTCGCAGGTAACTCAGAGAGACTGAGTTCTCAACACATTTATCCATTCTTTTTTCTTTTTCTTTTTTTTTTTTTTTCCCACTACCTATCTTATTGTTGCTGTTAATAATTTTAGCTCCCTCATCACATTCTGATGCATAGTTACTGGTAATAATATCAACCCTTTCATGTAGCGTCAGAGATAGGAAAAAATAAAAATCATGCATAAAATGAAAGCAGAATCTTTGAAAATGTAGAAATTACTGGGCATGATGACATATACCTGTCATCCCAGCACTGGAGAGGCTGAGGGGGGAGGATCTAGGCCAGCCTGGGCTGTTTGAGATTTGCCCCCTTACCCCCAAAAGAATAAAAACTACAAGTTACGATTATTGGGCCTCAGACCAGTCCTTTTCCTTAAATGGAATCCGTCTAAGGGCCACAACTTCCTTGTCACCATTCTGTTAAATATCTTCACCAAACTACAGAAGCATTAGGTGGAAAATAGACTGAACACAAACATCAAAACTTATTCCATGTCATGCAAAGACTACTTTCTCCCATTCGTCAGTTTTTTGCACATGTGATACTAATACAGAAAATACAGCTTAAAATAATTAGGTTGTAAGTTCCACTAGCCTGTAAACACTGCACATCAACATATATATTAAGTATGTACACATGTTTATGTACACGGATATCCTTTTAACGTGGGGAATCTAGAACAATTTTCATACGGGAAGCAAAGGGGACATGCAAGAAGAAAGGAAGCCAGTAAATGACAAGCTGCAGCTTCCTCACCCCGTGGTGCCCCTCCCCAAAAACTGTAGGAAGTGGAAAACTGCAGAATGTACCTTCCAGGCCAGAAGCAAAACATTGAGGATGGCCAGCAAAGGGCAGGGCCCGTTCTCATTCTGGGTGATGATGGGTGTGTTCTCTTCCTTCCACTGGATCCACTTGATGTGATACACACGACTGCCCGGGGAAGCGCTCCTTGGTGGCCGCTGGCCCCAGTGCGGCGTCGTCTTCGTCCTCCCCCCCCGGCACAGAGGCGCAGCCCCGGGCGCCCCCGCCGCGCCCTCCTGCCCCTCCTCGGGGATCCGGCTCTCCGCGCCCTCCTCACTGTTGAACTCGGAGCTGCTGGGGAAAGAGTGCAGGTTGGAGAAGGACTCCAGGGAATCTAGGCTCGGCGAGTCCTCGGGCGGGCTCGGGTCGCTGGCGCTGCTGCAGGCGCCGCGGGCACGGCGGGGCTCCTCGGGGCAGGTGCGCGCGTCCCCGGCCGCAGCTGGCTCTGGCCGGGCGGTCACCTCCCGCCGCCCTCCCGCCGGCGCCGCCGCGCTCTCCTCTGCGGGCTCCCTCGAGTCGGCGCCCGGGACGGCCGAGGAGGAGGAGGTGGAGGAGGAGGAGCCCGCGGGAGACGCGGGGTCGAAGAAGCTCCCCGTGCCGGCCGCCGCCCCCTGCCCGCCCGCGCCGCCGCTCTCCGTCGCCCGCGCCCCGGGACCGTCTGCCGCTGCAAGCCGGTTCTCTTGTCGGTCCTCCGGCGCTGGTGTGGTCGCCACCCCGTGTCCCAGCGGCTGCGGGCTCGTGGGGCCGCGCTCCATGCCCGGCCGCCAGCGCCTCGCCCTACGGAGACTACGGCCGCCTCTCCTCAGCCCGCGCCCCAGACGCCATAATAGCGGCTACGGCGCCCGAGCGCGGCCCCGGCACCGTACGTCACCGCGGAGGGCGCCGGGATCGCGCGTCCATCGCCCGCTCGGGGCGTGGCTGCGCGTCCGGGCGGGAGCGAGCACGCAGCTCCCGCCCGCGCCGGCCTTACGGGGTGGGACCTGGGAGGGCCTTGGGGGCGTGGCCGGGAGGGACATCTCCACTCTCCTGGAGGCTGGAAGTGCACCGCGATCTTGCTCCAGCATGCCGGGGATGCCGGGTGGCTCGCGGGTGGCCCGGGGGCTGAAGGTGGCTGCGCTGGTCCCTGGAGGGCGCTGGGACCGGTCCTCCCGGCGTGCGAGGCGGGATTCGCGCGCTGCCCGGGGACTGCACTGCGCCGGCGCCGTGGTGCCCCGGCCCGCCCTGGATGCAAGCGTCGCCCGGGAATGGGAGTCGGTGGCGCGGCCAGTAATAATAAATCTGCTCGGCTTGAGTGAGCTCAGCAGCTCGGGCGGGTTCACTTGGCTTGACTTCGCGTGGAGATGGAGTGAGAAGAGCCTGCTCCTGGAAATGCGACTTTTTCTACTTGACATTCACGTCTTTAAGGCCACGCCTGCCGGGCGTGGTGGAGCCGTCTGTAATACCAGCTTTGGGGACGAAGAGGCGGGGAGATGACAAGTTCGAGACCACGCTGGACAGCTAACTGAGACTGTCTCAAAATTTAAAAAAGGCATGAGGGTGTACAGTGTGCCTAGGATTCAATCCCTACTACAGCTAAATCGGTAAAAATGCAGCTGAATTAAGCACTTTAAAGAGTATTGAAATATATGAAATATACTGAGAATATTACAGATGCCGAGAAATTCAGGATTTAGTATGTTGCCTCAAATGATTCGTAGTTCTGTAAAGGTGTGTTACTTGAGTAAACTGAATTTGTGAAGCGTTTATGGGCTATTGCGGGGGGGGGTGCAGTGGTGCAAGTTTGTAATCCCAACAACGAGTCAGAAAGATACTCAGGCATTCTTGCCCAGCTTCGACTATACAGTGAGTTCAAGGTCACCGCGAGCTGCACAGCGAGATCCTGTCTGTAGAAGCAAAAATCATGAAACACGTTCTCAAATAATGGTTTGTTTGTTTGTTTATTTATTTATTTATTTAGAGACAGGGTCTCACTGTGCAGTCCAGGCTGACCCTGAACTCACTAAGTAGCACACACTGGCCGCAAACTGGCGGTGATCTTTCCGCCTCAGCCTCCTTAATACTGGGATTATAGGCCTGTGCCACCATGTCCAGTTCACATTCATAATTTAACAGTTCATAGTAGAAGCAAAACCAAATTTTCTTTTAAAAGAATGTAGTGGTTGGTCATTACATAAGCCAAGATGAAGAGTGATGAGAATGTATGTAGTTATTTGAGTTCATGAAAATGTATATACTGTAATTGGACTGGATGTATGTGTGACTCAGTTATACCAGGGCCTGGATCAAATTCCTAGCACCAAAGAATTTTTCAAAGATACCTAGTTTTTAAGGGTGGTAGGGTTACCTTTAGAGAGATCAGAGGACAATAAGCTGACAGATGTCTTATTTTACTTCTCTGTATCTTTAGCAAAACAATGAGGTGAAATAAAGGATGTTCAATTTAAAATGTTACTATCTGTTGTGAGCAAGCTATGTCATCAACCTGGAACAGACACATAGACACGTTTGTGTCCTTCTGTAATGTTAGAGTTCACTGAATAACCTAAATTTGAAAGTTACACAATTCCATCAGTTTTAACTCACTGAGTGCTCTAGATTTCACTTGCTTGTGGGACCAAGGCAATCATAGTTGTTTTATTCCATTGCAGTCTTAATTATGAATATCTATAGTGTAAAATCTATACATTCCACTTCACCTGGTAATATTGAAGGCACAGCAGGCTATGGAAGTGGCCACACTGTTTAAAAGAGGCTGCAAGCTGGGCGTGGTGGCTCAAGCCTGTATTCAGCACTCAGGAGGCTGAGGCAGGAGGATCATTGTGAGTTTGAGACCAACCTGGGCTACAAAGTGAGCTCAAGGCCAGCTTGAACTGCATAGTGAGACCCTGTCTCAAGAAGACAATCGGCCAATCAATCAATCAAAATAAATAAAAACAGCTGCAGAGTGAGTAAAGGCACAGGGCTGATAAACCCGCAGAAGGCTCTGCCAGAGGATGGATAAAGAACTAACAGACAGGGGGCTGGGGATTTAGCTCAGCGGCATAAGCGCCTGCCTTGTAAGCAGGCGGTCGTGAGTTCGATCCCTGGTACCGATAAAAAAAAAAAAAAAGAACTAACAGACAAAGCCCAGTGGCAGAGATACGAAGCTGTGAGGAAAAGGGTGAGTCTGAGTCCCAAGCACTGCTGAGCCAACACCTCAGGAGTTCTTTGCCTGCTAGCTCTTCGCCTGCGAGCTCTCCTGGGTAAGGTCATGGTACCATGATGACCAGAGGGTGGAGTCAGTGATGCCCATGTGTGGTTCTCCTTTTATATAGGCCAGAGGAGGGGGTGGCATTGGGTGCCCCCCTCCCCATCCCCTGGTACTGGGGATTGAACCTAGGGCTTTCACACTGAGCTTCATTGCCAGGCCTGTTTGATTTTTGATTTGGAGACTAAGTTTCACACTAAGGGGCCCAACTGGGCTTGAACATGCGATGCACCTGCCTCAGCCTCCCAGACTGCTGGTATTAGAGTTGCATCTGGTGTGTTTGATAAATGCCTGTGTTTAGTTTTTTGGTTTTTGTTTTGGTACTGGGATTTAAACCCTAGGTCCTTGGCACCCACCCCTTTTTAAAATTTCTCATTTTGAGACAAGAGTTTTGCTAAGTTGCTAAATTGTCCATGCTGAGCTTAGACTTTGCATGTTCCTGCTTCAGCCTCCCAGAATCCTGAGATTACAGGTGTGTGCCATTATAGCAGGTTCCTGTGTGGTTTTCTGATATGCTCATGTCCTTACAGTCAGGATTTACTGTGATAACAATATTGCCATGAATAGGTTAGTTTGTATTTCTTAGTTTTACTGGGAAGATTGTTTAGTTGAACAAATAAGGCAGGAGGCATTCTCTCTTGGCACTTGTATTCAAATGGACTAATTCAGCTCAAACTATTGCTTTATGAAGTGGCACAGTCTGAAAGCTGCATCTCTATACAATGTAGAAAAATTCAGAGCAGCACACAGGCTGGTCCTTTTTTGAGGCAGGATCTTGCTATCTAACTCAGATTGGCCTTGAGCTCACAGTGATCCTCCTGCCTCAGCCTCCAGAGTGCTGGGATTACCAGCACATACATCATTCCTGCCTGGCCTGCTCTCCAGGCTACCCAAATTTTAAAAATTATTTTTCAAAGTTAAAGATGTAATGGTATTAGAAATTGGATAGTTTATACAGAGACAAAGCAGTTATCTGCTCTGTCCCTCCACACTCTGCATTCTGTCCTTTGGAAGCAGTCCCCTTCAGTTCATGGCTGTTCCTTAGCTCTTTCTCCCCACGTCTGAGGAGCACAATTACACTCTGATTTCTCCATTTAAAGATTATAGATATTTAAACCAGTGCCTCAGGAGGCTGAGGCAGGAGGATCTTGAGTTCCAGGCCAGTGCAGGCAGGTGAGCAAGGCCTTCCCCAAAACCACCACTCCCTAAAAAGGAATAGAGAAAACAAAACAACAACAAAAAAATTGTAGATCTTTCTTATTTATTCTCAAGGAAAATGGGTTATCTCACATCATTTTCCCCTCCACTTTATCCAACTTCCCAGCTATTTCGCATTTTTTTTTAAAGACAGGGTCTCTATATGTGGTTCAGACTGGTCTTGAACTCACTATGTCGCCCAGGCTGTCTTTGAACTTGCAGCAATCTTCCTGCCTCAGCTTCCTGAGTGCTGGGATCACAGGCATGTGCCACCATACCCAGCTGTTTCACAATTTTTTACTAATTTAAAAGCATTAGAGTTGTGTAAATCTCTACTACTAAGTCAAATGTGCTTTTCTCGTTGAACATACTTTTTCTGAAATAAATAATTATATCATCGTTTTGCTTTTTATTTGTGTAATTTTCAATCTACCATTAAGAGTCACAGACAACAAACTATTTTAATACACTTTACTCTTGGGGACTTCCTTCCTGTGGCACCTTCATCTTTCTTTGATTGGGGCTTATTACTTTTTGCGGGCTTATATCAACCTTGCCTTTTTGGGGGGGTACTGGGATCAAACGCACGACCTCGTACTTGTCAGGCAGGTGCTTATGCTGCTGAGCTAAATCCCTCGCCCAAGACCTGTCATCTTGAATTTTTTTTTAATTTATCTTTTTTTCAATATATAACTTGGATTTGTTTTCATCCCCTCCCCTCCCCTCAATCCCTCTCCTCCCTCATTTACTAAAACTCTGTTTCCACTTTTTCCTTCTTTTCTCACTTTTCTTTTACTTTTCCCTTCTTTCCTTCTTTTCTCACTTTAATTTTCCCCTTTTTTCCTTTTTTTATTTCATTAAGTTTTCTATTTATTTGATAGAAGGCCTCTATGTAGTTCAGGCTCATCTTGAACTCAGGATCCTCCTGCCTCAGCCTCCCAAGTTCTGAGATTGCAAGTCTGTATCAGTGTGCCTGGCCCTGGGATTTCTTTTAAAATTTTCTTAGTGATTTTTTTCTTTTTCTCTTCTATCTTGATTCCTCTGTTTCTTGCCTCTCCTGACATCCTCCTTCTTTGATTTGATGAAATATGTTCTTAATTAGCTTCCTGAGAAAGACTGCATGAGAAGTGAATTTTCATAGACTTCAGTTTACCTTTACACTCTATAGTTTGGGTATGAGACAGTTCATTATATGCCAACTTCCAAGTGGGTATGTGGCTCCTTTGTGTAACCCGTTTCCGCTTTGTTATTTTTCTGGGTGTTTTGACATTTTTAAAAAATCTTTTTTTTGGTAATACTGGGATCAAACCCA